TAGTCTCCATCTCGTCTCCGTCATCCGTGCTTGTGGTCTGCATCCGGAACACCCTCCCTCCAATCCTATCCACCCCACCCCCCTCCCACGTGCCCAATCAGATCCGTCAAAAGTGCGGTGCCCCCCATTACTTTGCCCCACACCACCCCGCGCCTCCCCGCATTGATCAGATTTTCCACTGTCTCCAGTCGCCCCCCAGCCCTCCCCGCGGGGCGCGGGGGCCGCGCCTCGCGCCAAGCCGCACCGCCCGGCCATCCCAATCGCCACAGCCTCGGAGCCGATCGGCGCACCGCCAGAAAGTTCCGGATCGATACCGCCTGTTCAGCGATGCGATTTTCGGCGCTGGAGGCCAGCTGGATCGCGAGGGGGCCCGGCCTGGCGGGCCGCGCGCCAGATGCACGGACCGAGGTTATGGCGATCGCGTGGAGGGGGCCAGATCAGGGATCCAGACGGTGCGGCGGCATCGGCGCGGCTGATTGAGCCGCGCACGGACGCGCAATGGTGCAGGGCGGTCGTCCGGGCGCCCGGGCGGGGCGGGTGGCCTGCGCGGATCGCTTCCGCCGTCGAGCGAGGCGGCGTGGGGGATGTGGCGCGAGGATCGCAGCGGCGGATCGGCGATCGGCGATTGTCCGATGGGAGGGCGGCGCTGAAATTGTCGGCCGTGGTCCGGTGGCTGTGGCTGCCTTCTTGGCCGCATGGATGGGGAAATCGGCCTCGGAATGGGGAGAGGAACCAAGGGGGCCGTGTGCTCGTTTGATCGGTAACTGAGGCCGACGGGGTGGCTGAGGGGTTGGAGGGGGCCCCGCTCGGCGCCCTGCGGAGCGCTGTGGCGCGCTGCGGGTCCGCCGGCAGGCGGAGGGGCGGGGGTGGGAAGGGCGTGACTAATCGCTGTGGGAGACGATGTTCAGCTCGCGTGTGCGCCAGACCAGCGATCCCGTCGTCAGGTGTTTGCCGCTGTCGAGTACTGGAGCAGAAATTGGGCTTTATTCTTTTTCTTTCACATTCTGGAATGGAGTAGCAGTCGTGGATCCTTATTGGGACATTGCCTGGACAACCTCCCGAGTTTGGCAGCCGCGTCCTAAGGGGCATATGACCACGAGCCTCACTGCACAGGGGTAAAATGGGTCATAAGACACGGTTCAGATAATGGAATTTGTCCAACTGTTGAGGCCGTTTACGTAACTATCACACGATTGTGGGCTATTCAACAGGATGAACCTATGTTAAATAAATAAGTAACAAATAAATACTAGAACGAAAATAGTGAAGAAATTGCCCAGTGCACTGCAGGACTCTTGGGGCATCAAAATGGGTTGTTATGACAGCCAGCCTTCGTCTCAGTCCGTGCCGTTCATCTAGACAGGTCTTTTCCTTTAGAATGGTCGGAAATGTCGGCGAAGATCAACTGCAGATCCTGCTGAAACGACCGTCCTCACAGCTCGGATGGGCATTGACGCAAAGTGTGCCGCACAGGATCTGTTGCTCTATCCCCTGCAGTGGCTGGGCCACCCGTCTTCAGGGCTATTGGCTGTTATCTCCTTTGGTGTACAACTCGCCCTCTCAGGCAAGTCTGACATTGCCGTGGTGCTTGGTTTGATGCAAGCAGGAACATTGTATTCACGACCGATTGTCAACAGTGCGTTGTGCATTCGCTAGCCACGTACTTTCTTTGAACGTTTTGGATCATTAAAGGCTTAGCAGCTTCGGAAATCTCAGAAGCTTTCCCGTGTTGGCCGGCTTTGTCGTAAAAGCTTGCCTTTGGTATTTGTCAATAGGACATTTATTCAAGACGTTTGTTCTGGGCTGTTGCTGTTGTCGACAAACAGCCCTCTTGGGGCCGTTTGGAGTCGAGGCGTGGGTCAAGAATTGTGCCACTTTCTAAGCAGCCTGGCAGTTGAAGGCTTGGCATAGCTAGTGCGGTTTCAAGCGTTTATTGCACTACTGCACTTTGCGTTTCCACTTGAAACGCTGCAACCTTCCCAGCTGCAGGCAACCTCTACTGACAACAAATTCTACCCCACTGGGTGGCGGCGGCGCCCTGGATCTGTGCACACCTTTTATCACAGGCATTAGAACTCAGTCACTTTGTCATGTTGTTTGAGTTTGTCTAGATGTCAGGAGATAGTTACAGCTTCCAAAACAAACATTGTTGACAGAGCCATGGTTTGCGTTGTAGTTGTGATTGCAAGGGTAGCATCTTCATTCTTCGAAGGCATGCAAGCAAGCAGAAATGCCTGCTGCTTGCAGCTCATCTGCTTTGTTAGTTGTGCAAACACGAGCTATTCTGGAAACATTGGTGAGTCCCCAATATGCGGATGTTGCAGAGTCATGGCCTGCTGGCTCATGCTGCTATGTCCTCTGACTGTGATACGACTGCTAGCAAACTGATGAAAAACTGTAACAAGATTGTTAGACACAAGAAGCCAGCTGTATAACATCGCTTTGCTGCTTGATGCTTGTGGTGTGAAGCCCTGTGACGCTGCATGTGCAGAAGGCACACAGAGCACAACTTCGTCAAAGCGCAATGCACTGTGGGCAAAACATAACCATGACCTGGATTCCTGGGCTGTGTGAGCAGGTGTGGGCAGGCAGGGCTGGCAGATTAAGGAAATAATCATTCAGTGAATTTGTCAGAGCGTGACAAAACGCAATCGTTTCACCTGTCGGGCAATGTAGGGTGCTGGTAACAAGTATGCGATGTGTTCCAATAAAAAATTGGCTCAGCTCACCAACCAACCCCCCGAGCTGCTGTTGGAGTGCAGCCGATAGATCGATCATCGACAGAAGTCACACACTTTCAAACTTCCCAATAGCATTTCGACATCAACGCTGTGAGTTCGTTCTTGCAAGTCGAAAGCCTATCAGTTTGCACAGCAGCCTGATGCTCTGGTACGCAATCATTCTGTCAGCCGAAGCACCTGCAATTTACGACAAAGAACTCACAACACAGATTCATTGCCGCAATGAGCGGTTGCTCCAAACTCTGCAGCCCGGCCTGGCGTTGCTCACGAGTTGCGGGTGTCGCGATGCAGGTCCGCCAGAGAGATGCGTCATCTGGCAAGGATACTGGCACGTTTGGTGTTGAGCATTGATTCGTGGCTGAGTGAGGATGTCCCCTGTTGTCTCAGAGGTGGGCAAGGCATGTCAAGAGTGAAATACCCTGCGTTGAACTGTGGAGCGAAATGTGCTCCTTCCGGCTGGAAAGCTGCTCCTCTGCACTCCCTGTCATTGCGGCATGCGTGCTGGAGTTCGTCCTCCCTTAACAAGCGGAATTACCTCAACAACGGTACCACAACTGCGGAACACACCCTCCTTGAGTGCAGCTACGCCTGCCGGCACCTTCATTCGGCGCAAGAGTGGTTGGATTTGTCATGAGCCGTTGATAAACCGGAATCCATGGGGTTTGAAGGCCGATTTGAATTGAATTCACCGTTCAAATTCAAGTTGTCGGATAGACGGCTTGGATCGGCGCATTTGCAGCCGACCAAGCGGCATCCAAAAGCGAGCAGTTCACACTTTTCAACGTTGTTGTCCGAATATCTCGTGTACCGTCCCCAGGCGCGTCTCGAATGGTCGGTTAATATACTGCGGCATATGCCGCGCACGCCAAACCCCACACACATCATCCGCTCGCCGGACCAACCCGCTGGCGAGTTGGCAGTACTTTCCGCCCAGCCTCAATGTACGGATCGGTACGGGCGCCCCCCGCCCCGGCGCTGGACCGTTTCCCGGGCCTCCCCGGTCAGAACCCGGTCATTTGGATCCGGGGCCTCTCTCCAGTGCGACGGCTGCGCCCTCCACTGATCTGCGCCTGGATCTCTGTAGTTTCTGTCGCTGGGGCCTGTTGGTCGCCAGGCGCACGCTCCCGTACACACACACCTGCGCTGATCCATAACCACTCGCCCACTTGGAGGCAGACGGTTTGTAGGCGGCAGCACTGTTGCAAGGCGGCGTGGAGAACGGCCCCGGTGGCGCCCAAAAGGCGGTCGGCGCGCCCTGAGGAGGGGAAGGCCGCGCCGCGCCGCAGTGGGGGGGGCATCGCCGGCGGCGTCACTGCACCAGGGACGGATGAAGTTGGATGGCGTCTCCTGCCTTGGGCGCCGTGCGTCATGGAATGATCTGCGGAAAGGCGGCGCGGCTGGGGACGGTGGGCGAGGGTTGGCGTGAAGCGCCCGCCGGCTGGTGGACGGTGCGCACTGAGAGCGCGGGGGACCGGCGGGGTGCGTTGATTTGACCTCGACATGGCTGATTGCCGGGGATGTCTGGCCGGTGGCGGATGCGGAGCGGAGAGGCGTGGGCAGACGGGCGCAGGGTGGGCTGGGCGGCGACTGGGCTGGATCATCGGGGGGCATTCGCTGCGTGCGAGGTGGAATGGGGAGAGAGGAGGGGGGTGGCTGCCCTGGACGCGAGCCGCGTGTGGGTGGCGCGCAGCGGGCGACGGGGCGTCAGGCCTGACCCTCGGCCTTGACTCACCCCCGGGCTGGCCCACCGGGGCCCGTGGGGCGGCCGCTGACTAAGGCGCTGCTGGTGCGCTCCGTCCGTCCCGCTTTCTTGCGGACGGGGCCGGGATATGTGCCGGATTTGAAAAGCGGGATACGAAAAAGGGGACTTTTGCCCAGCCCCCCCCTCATGTGAACCGTCCCCCGCCCACCACCAGCCCACCACCCTTCGGCGAGCGGTCCTGCCGGGAGCCCTGGAGCGGGCGCCGGCCCCGAGACCCTGCCAGCGCCCAGGCCGCCGCAAGGCGCCCGCCCCGCCCCGCCCAACGCCGGGCGGAGACATGTGAGTGCCCTGTGCCGCGCATCCGGCCGCCCATTTGCGGCTGCTCGACACCGCGCTGTCCGGATCGCCGCCTGCCTTCCCCCCGCCTGCCTCCCCCCCGCCCCTCCCCGCGAAGCGCGGTCCGCTCCAGCCAGCCCGAAACGCCCCCCGCCGCCCGCCATGGCCCTCATGCCTCACGCCAGCCATCCCGTCGAATTGGGTCATCCGGCCGCCCACCGACACGTCTCTGACCGGCGAGAATCTTCGCTTCGCCTCACCCTCCCCCGCGCCCGCCCGCTGCCCACCCCTCGGTCGCCGATCTCATCCCCTCTCGGGCATTCCCCCACTCCCAAACAGCTGACCCTCAGTCTCTGCACACCACCCCCAGGCTGGAGCCGATGGACAAGGACATCATGGCCGACCTCGTAAGCCTGACGGAAGGCTCGGACCCAGAGCCGCCCTGCACGCCGGACGCGGACGGCAAGGCCTGTGCCGCGCCCCCTGGGGGCTTCGCTTGCGGCGGCATCCCGTCGCTCATCCCCCTCACCACCTCCGCGCCGGCGGGCCACGTGCCCGGGATCCCCGCCCACCTGCCGGAGCCCACCGCGCCCCCGCTGGACGAAGTCGTGTCCGGCCTGTTCCAGGGCGACGGCGGTGACCTGTCGTCGGAGCTGGCGGCCGCATTGGCGGACTGCGCGGGTACCAAGCAGGATCCCGGCAAGCTCGAGGGGGAGGGGGACCCGCTGGGAATGTACCAGTGCGCCACGGGAGGAGAGTGCGCGGACGACGTGGTAATGGGAGAGGGGGAGTTCGCCGGCGAGCGCGGGGGCGGGAACGACTTCTTCGAGATGGCTAGCCTGCTGGGCGAGAGCGAGGACACCAAGCAGGGGCTGGAGGGGCTGGGGCTGGAGGGGGGCATGGCTGAGGGCCTGGCTGGCGGGCAACCAGGCTGGGAGGGCGCCAGCCGGGCGGAGGAGAGCAGCGCGGCGGGTGGGTCGGGGTCCTACGCCATGGGGATCCCGTACTACGTGGCTTGCCAGTGGCAGATGCAGCAGCAGCAGCAGCAACAGCAACAACAGCAGCAGGCTGCGGTGAGCGGCTCGCGGAAACCCGCGCCGGCGCCCGGCCCCAGATCGGCGCGAATCCCGTCGCAATGGCGGCGCGCAGACCTTCGACCGCGCCCCGGTGCCCGTGGACCGGCAATGACGGCGCCCTTCCCACCCCCGCGTCCTTCCCACGCTGCCCTCAATGCCCAACGCCGATCCCTCACCGTGCGTCATGGGTAAAAGTGCGGCGTACCAACTCCTCGAACTCACGGTGCGTCCCGCGCGATCGCCCCAACTCATGACCGTGTGTTTTCGCCGTCGCCAGGTGATGCTTTGGTGGCAGGCCTACTTGTCCTCCTGTGGCGGCATGTTCGGCCAGCCCGGCGCCATGCCCCCATCTTTTCCCCCCGGAGGCTGGGGCATGCCGCCCCCGGGAATGCAGCTGCCGCCGGGTATGTTCCCACCGGCGCCGGGCGCCGAGGCGCTGTTCCCGGGCCTCGTGAACGGCGGAATGGGCACGGCGATGGGCACCAAGGCCGGGCCGGCCAGCGCCCCCGGCGGCCAGGCGAAGAGGCGGCGGAGGCAGGACAGCGGGGGCAGCGGGGACGGACAGGCCAACGGCGGGTCGCAGCTTAGCTCGGCGAACCGAAAGGGGCGGAGACCAAGGCAGGAGGAGCGGGTGCGCGTCGTTTCGCTGTTTTTTCTTGACTGTTCTGGAGGGATCTACTTCTCGCTGGCCTGTGGTGGTTGTCCAGTGCGCCTTGCTTGTCTCTCATCAGTCCGTTGCAATAGCCGAGCATGCGAGAAGGACGCCGCCGCTTTGTTTCTTTATCTGCCAGCAGTTGTTCCTTCTTTCCGGCTGTTGTGTTGCCTGGGTCCCTGGCTGCCGTGTGGCGCCAGTGGTGGCTGCATCTTATGTGCGCTGATCTCGACCTGTCGCATGGCATCGCTCCCGCAGGTGTGCAAGAACTGTGGCACTCGCTCGACGCCTTTCTGGCGCAAGGACAAGCATGACGGGCTGCCCCTTTGCAATGCCTGCGGACTCTACCTGTCCAAGAACGATGCTCCAAGACCAAAGGTTTTGTGGAAGAGCTCAGATCCCTCGGCCGTGGTCGTCGAGCAGAGCAACGCGGCGTGCATGTAGACTGGCACATTTGGCAGGCAGGAGTGCCTATTGCATATACCTTCTTGACAATCGCCTCACGGCGACGTCCTTCGAATGCCCAAGAATGTGGATCTTGCCTGGTTTTGGCGGCAGTTTTGGGCCCTGGCTTTCAGCTCCACACTCCAGGAGTTGGGCCCTGGGTACGCCGTTTGGCAAGAGCGGTCGACGTTTTGGGTTTTGCGCAGTTGGCCGCTGCGCACACTGTCGACACTGTAGGGAAAGGAATGCGGAAGGTGAGAAGAGAGCACAGGTAGTGGCTTCGTACGGGAACTTGTGATGTTGGGCACATGGCAGGTGTATGCAGCGGATGGATCCATTGTGGAAGGTGGGATCGTGACGATTGGGTGGCATGACCTGGGGCGCCGGTACTGTAGTGGTTTGCCTGAGTACGAGATCAACGACGGAGAAAATTTTGATCCTTGGGGGTGTGGGAACTTAGGTACTGGATGGGCTTCATGTGCCCCCATTCGGGGTGTTGTGAACTATAGACGATCTTGAAGGAACGGGAGGCAAGGGGTGGGTTTGGGAGGTGGGGGCCAAGGGGGGTGATTTTTTTGACTGGACATTTTTTCTGCAGTCGGCGGTGGGGTGGTTACACCGCACACACATTCTTGGCACCACTGTTGTCCATCCAGGCGATGATGGACGGTGCATTGATGGGTATACAAATGTGCCGTGGAGCACTGTGGGGCAAGGCAGACAGGGAACGGTGGGCAAGTTGTATATCGTGGCACAGAGAGCGGCAATATGGGTGGCGCTCTTGGATTGTTTCGGCCTACATACGCCCCTGCCTTGCTTTGTAGCAACTTGCTTTGTAAAGAAGCTGCAGTTGTAGTTAACCTCTGGCCGCCCTTCTCCAGTGGTGGGGGTGACAGCGAAAATGGCAGAGGGTGCAAGGCCTAATTGCTGTATCGACCACTCGTGGAGCAGATTTTGCATCGACGGCAATGAGGCATCGATGCGGCTACCGTTGCAATTGCCATCCCTGGAAAGCCAACCCTGATGACATAAGCTGGGGTCGTCTGGCCTTCATGCTGTTCTGGCAGAGCGTTGCTCGCGTTGGCTTGGTGGCGCTCGGGGGGACTGCCACTGGTGAGACTGTCTAGTGTGTAGTTGACTGCAAGTCAGCCGAACACACAAGCGAAGTAGCGGTTGGGTACATGGTCTGCAATGGGGCGATGTCCTGCTCCTTGTTTGGCAACCTTATTGACGGATGATGTCCTCATTCCAAGGGCCTTTCCGCGACAGATCACGAGGACAGGTGCTGACGGAATCGCTGGCTGGGCCTGTTGAATTAGGCACGCCGATTGGGTGGCCCATGATGGATTGGCGAGGACCGCAAGTTTGGGGACTATCGCAAGTGAACAGAGGCAGCAACAATCTGGAACTGGACTTCACGAGCGTGCCAGTTTGGAGCTGCTGTTTCCTGCCTCGATTGGGTGTGTTCCAGTGCGCTTCAGAATCGGCATTCCACCGTTGGCGTTTCAGCACGACGGAAAGCAAATGTTATGAGCTAAGTCCTTCTCTGCACCTTCGGTTGACGTGGTTGCTGTCACTGTGTGCAAGCGGCCCGGAGACGGTGTATTGCGTACCTTGCCAGAGCGAGGTGCGCCAGGGTGGTATTCATTGGGCTGACGGCCCTCGATGCGTGGGACACGACGGCAAGGAAGCAATACGCGCGCATGAACCGATGAATTAGTCAATCACTGCGCGATAATGTTTGGGAGATCAGGAAGCTTTCAGTTCCCCGCAAACTCCCCCAGAGTGCTCGCACACCGCCACGGTGCATGGGTACATTGAGTACATTTGGTACGTTTGGTACATTTGGTACGTTTGGTACATTTGGTACATGGGTACATCATTGCATGGGTACACTGCTACGTGGGTACAAATCGTCTGCCTGACTTGTGTTGTTGCGGCCGGGACGTACCAATGCCAGTCCTTGTGGCACTATGCATGGCCACTTCTTGGATCCGCGCAGGTCACGTAGCCTGAACAAACCGTCGTCTAGGCGAAGATGCGCTCACAAGAATCTTGAGGAGGCAGACGTCCGACACAAGGGGTGCCATTACGGAATAGGGATACAGTACAAAGTCAGGACCACGTAAAGAACGGTGTTCACAATGGGCTGGAAAACAACCTGGGTGCAGTCTATCGTGCTAATAACCTGCAGAAAACAACTGTGTTTCCGCCTGATGGACCTCCACGACCCACCCAGATGTGCCCACGTGACAGTACCTTGAGAAGGCAAGTGATGCTGTAAGCTTCGCTGTTGGTCATAGTGTCTGCACACTCAATTGTGTAACACATATCTGCGATGAGGTGGCTGATTCGGTGAAAAAAACAACCCAGCCCAGTGTGAAAATGATGCTTAGGAGCTGTGAATTACCAGAAAATCATCATCAGAGCGTGGCGCAGTTCACGATCAAAGTCCGTCCGACTCCGAAATCACCGGCTAAACCTTGCCGATGACATAACATGGAATTAAACTGGGAAAACGTGCGAACCACGCAGGCCACGGGGATGATAGAAACCATATGCGACTCCAGGATAGGCGGGTCAGCACCTAGGGCCTACTGTTGGGGGTCTTAGGACGGCGTTCATGCATTTATTTAACGGATGTTGTAATGCTCCGTTTGCCAAACACCGTTCGCAATGTTTGAACGGGCAAATGTCGCCCTCATCAGCACCATTGTTCTGTACGTACTCTACTTGAAGTACATAGCAAGGCAATGAGGCAACCGTCAGCTCCCTATTTTTCCGAGCGAATCGGTGTTTATCATCAGTTCATTAAAATCTAACGCATAGCACGAAGTCTAGGAATTAATGAACTTCTAATGCCAAGAAGCGTAGGTCGGCAATAATACATGTCGCCCTTGCACGGAAGCATTCATCCGTTCTCCAGGGGGATTTAACCTTTTCCCTCCATCCCCAGAGCCGCTGGCGCCACACAGAAGCCCACGCCCAACCCCAGAACAGCCGCAGACTCGTGCCCTTTACCGTCTGACGCTGCACACCCTGCCCACCCCTCCCGCGACCACCTCCGCCGGGCGCGCCTGCCGACCGACGCCGCTAATCGCCGCCATGGGCCCCGCGGCACCCGTGCCGGCCCTGTGCCCGGACGCAATGCGGTCCGTGGGCTTGCCTTCACTGCATCTGGGAACGCGCGGTGAGGGAAAGGAGGGGGGGAGATTGGGAGATGGTATTACATAGCAACGAGGCAGAATCCATCCTTTTCCGCCAATATTTGAGGCGCTGTGGGAGGGGACCCCGAGACATACAATGGCAAACGCAAGGTGGCACGATTCGAATAGCAGAGTATGCCCAGTGAGGCTGGGGGGGGGGGCGCGGCGAGAGGATTGTGAGTGGCTCTCCTCAGGTCCAATCCTTTGGTATCATCGGGTTGGCTAAATTCGCCGAATAGGCGGGTGGTTGATGGATGATGGCGCTCGTGTTGCAGGTCGAGCGCGCTCGAGGCCCGCGCAGGTGAGGGAGCATCCGTGAACCGACGCCCGTCGCGCACGAGAGGGGGGCGGGCGGCGGCTGCCCCCGGGGCTGGTCGCGCTGCCGCGGCTGCGAGCGTCGGGCGTCTGCGCTACTTTCTGGCTTGGTTTTTCGGGAATGGATCGCCGGAGCGGGGAATTTGGGAATGGGTGGTTTCTGGTCGTGGGTGGCATTTTGGGGGGTCTTCTGGCGAGGGTGAGCGCGTCATCTGTTGTGTCCGATCGCGAAGCAGGCATGGGACATGTCTCAAAACTGCGGAGCGGGTTGCGGCAAGCGCATGCTTGCGAGACGGGGACCACTGCCCAGGAGTGCCACCTTCTGTGGCATTGGTGCTAGCACCTTGGGGACTCGTGAAGAGGCGGCCCTTTCGCTTCTCCCTTTTTCATCGGTTGCTTCCCGCCGCTGGTGGGAAGGACCCTTCTCATTGTTGAAATGCGGTCGAAGTCGTGCACATGCGTAGTCCCCTTAGTCATTGGCCTGTATGTTGTCAAGGGCCCGCCAGTTTCACTGCTTCGGAAAGCAGTCCTAGCATGCCGCAACGCTGGACCTCGCTCCTGGCAGCAACTCGGCTCTTCCCTCTTCCTGGGCAGTGAATCAAAATCTTGTCCAATGAAAATCTGGTCTGATCTGTTTTGTTGCCTTCCGATTTTCAGCGACAAGCCAGGGTGCAGGCCGCCACAGACCCTGTGTTGAAGAAGCCCGAATCCCCAAGAAAGCCCATGGAGTCTGAGGTGCCCGAAGAGGAGGGGCTACCAGGGCCCCCTTCCAGTGACACGACCACCACAACGTGGGTTGCAAAGTTCCCACAAGGGCTGCCATGCAAGGACAGCCTGTGGCACTTATCCTGCAAATCAGTTTGTTGACCAGCCAGCTGCAAACGACATAGGCCTTCTTGTTCCAGCATTCTGATGAAGGTTGCAGGCTGAGACAACTGTCCGCTGCAATGTGTCACAGAACCATTCTTTGCATGTTGCCTTGTCTAGCTTGCATTGTCTTTGTCTTTTGCAGTGTGGTGTCATCCATCAAATTCTGTGAGGTCTGATCTGCGTGTTGCATCATGGCTGTGAGTTTTGATGTGGATAGTGGTGATCTAATTGCCGCTGTCCACTAACCTTGAAACTGTCTGTGTAGTTTCAGAGTCTTCAAGGTGAATATTCTTTGCACATGCTAGAATGTGTAACAACTTTTGGCCACATGCACCCTACCATCTAAATGTCTCTTCGAGGTTCCGCAAGCAGACAATTTGCCCTGCGTTTGGACTGTGTCCTTGTACATCTTTTGCTGTGCTTGAAGTACTGTACTGATCAATGTTGTAAGGTGGTCTTTCCATAATTTGCAAATCCACATTTTGTTCCGTGCGCAAGAACTTCAGTTTGGTGAACTTTTGTGACTTGAGGAAAGGTTCTTGGAATGTGGCACGTTTGTGAACAGACGTCCTCTACTGGTAGGATAGCTGACAAAGTCAGTTTCTCTGT